TGCCACTCGCCTCCCAGCCGGCACTGGCTGCAGTGCAGAGGGGCGGCGCTCTTTTTTCTGTGCTCATTTTTTCCGCTAGCCTGGCGTCTGCTTCCAGGACGTCGTTATGCGCTCCATGCTTTATTGGTGCCATCTGTACCCAGCACTTTCTGCAGTGCAAACGTATAACTGTCCTGGGGGGGTGGGGGCAACGCCATCATTTGAAACAGAAAGAACACCCTTCCTGGGATTCGCTCTGCGTCAGGGACATCTGGTACGCCGAGACTTGAGGAAAAATCAATACTCCACTGCGATAAGGTGTTTAGCCAGATTGCATCAGTCATCCACTGCCCCCCCCCCCCACTACACCCCTGCACAGCATGCTCACACAAAAAGCATCCCCGTGTAATGCTGGCGGCCCCTGTTAAAATTCCCCTCACAGGGCTTGGTAAACAGCCCCCTCTATCCCATTAGCCAGTAACAAAGGGTGGTGTGCGGGGGGAGACAGCTGGCCTGCTTCAAGAGACAGCTGCTTCATCAAAGGCATGACTCCGCCCCCCAGATTAAACCCCACCCCCAAATTAAACCCCTCCCCCAGGGTCCCAATCTTCCACATCCCTGGCAGCTAGGATGAGGGAAATCTGCCCATTCTGCAGAGAAACCGGCTTCGTCTGCATGCCGTCATCTCAGCAGTACCCTAAATGTACGGGAGACAATGACATTTGAGCAGGACCCCGAGAGAGCAGAGTTGGAAGGACTCTGTCCCACTGCAGTTCAAAGATCGCGCTGTTTATCATGCGCTGGTTCTGATGCTCTGGAACTGCAAATATTATAAAACAGGTGTGAGGAAATCCTCCGAACACACTCAGCATTCTCACCCCGCACAATTCCTTGGATCGAAAACTCAAACATGCCAATAATTGTACTCGTCTTATTCAAAACACCAAAAGTCAATTTCTATAACCATTTTTTAAACTATATTTCATCTATAATTCAAATTTCTTATTGAGAGAGAATGTGTGATTATGATTAATATCCTTTATCCAAATCAGCCAGACTGGGCCATCGGCGACCCGCTGAAAGGTTATGCTGCAGTAACACCTTCTGGGTCTGTCTAAGGCGAGCACAGTAACGGTAATTAACAGCTCATTAACGAAGCATGAGGGAGAGACACAGACGTCCCCACCACAACCCGAGCTTCTCCCTGCTTTCGTACAGCGCTGATGAAGTGAGCGGACGGGCAGCCAGAGCTGCCCCCTGCCCACAGCCCCCTTTAAATGCCCCACATCCACTTTGTCCCCACCGCAGAATCTTCATGACCCATCCGTGACCCAAATGAACCCTGAGGGAGCTCTCTGGGCGGATCTTCATGTGCACCACCTGAGCAAGCCCGTCTCCTGACCCTCATCGAACCCAAACGCACACTTACTGCCCATGAGCTTCAGGGTGCTACGCGTCATCTTCCGAAAAGCGTCTGCCGGGCCGGTCCGGAACATGCCTCGCCGCCGGCCGCCCATCTCGTCTGACATGACCAGCAGGAGCCCCCCCCCAGAACTCCTGTCAGAGTTCAAAGGTCAGGCAGCCAAACCAGCAGCAGCAGCATGATGCTTCAGCTCTGTTTGTACTGGTGAGGACTTTGGTCTCCAATTTAAACCAGCAGCTTGTTTGTTTGTTTAATAGAGGGGAGGGGGATGGCAGGGGGCTAACTAGCTATGCAAACAACGCTTAAAAAAATGCTTTGGATTAGTGCCCCCCCTCTTTCTCTCATGTGGGCTCACATGAGGCACTGCGCTGCTTTCCCTGAGAATTTATCCCCGAGGTTTAGAACCCAGAGCGGGTGGGAAGATCGCAGGCTGTCAATCACTGCTCTAAACCTGCTTGCTATTGGCTGCTTCACCAGATACCAAACAGTGATTGACAGGGAACGTTAATCCCACCCACTCTGCCCATATCCCTGACAAATGTAGCCAGACTGAACTGTAAGCTGCGCGCTCTCCAGAATAGCCGCGTTCGTCATGTCACACAGAGGAGTGCAGCGACAAATTTACGATCCATCAAAGATATGAATCTCACTTTGCCACTGACGTCCTGGTTTACAACTCAGTGCTCGTAGTAACATACGGCACTATCAGAAACACAGGCTGCCTCCGGGGTTATGGGTATTCAACTTACAGACAACTTGTACTTACAAATGGACTGCCATAAAGCCCAATATATCAAAAATTCAGGTTAAATACAATGGCTTGTGATCAACATGCACTATTTTGTGATGCTTCTGAGAACATCGTGCAGCTTCAGTGGTACAGTACATTACTGCATGTAGGTATTTTAATACTGTATTATAATTATTATTATTATTATTATTATTATGTACTATATTATTATTTTTCCAACGTACAAATTCGACGCAAAGACAGACTTAGGGAAAAGATCTCGTTCGTAACCTGGGGACGGCCTGCATTCCATGCAGCTCATTTTAAATAACCGCCGATCCAATCAGGGCCCCGGAAAACACAGAGTATTAGGACGGGGCAGAGAGCCATGCGCGGGTGCCAAGCCACCGGCGGTGAGTCAGCCACCGATTCACTGCAGCTGCACGTCTGTCACAGAGGAAGCTGACCAGAACACGAGGATGATGGGACACAAGGGCCGTGCAAGCGAGGAGGTGCCAGCAAACCCCCCCTCAGACTCACGTGGGCCTAGTTACTCTATAACTGACCTGGCAGAAGCCGTGCTGGGGGACAATTCTGGACTTTGTGGGAAAAGTGGTGACAGCGACTTCATTTACTTCTTCAGCTCCATTTGAGACCACCATGCCGAAACGAGGGGGGGGGGGGGGGTTACAGTCAGTGTTACTCAGCTCACATAAGCGTTCATTCGCATTTTTCTATTCACTTTTGTGGAAAAAAAAACTAAACCAATTCTTTAACTGCGGATAAGTAGCCGGCACAAGGGTACAACAGCTAAACCGCGGCTTCGAGAAGCTGAATGTCCATGTTTCCTTTGTTGAAAGGCTTCCTGCAAGGCTGAAGGTGCATATCCTGAAATCAGTCAGACGTAACGGCCAAGCACAGCCAATCAGACGGCAGCGTTGATGTCCGTTTTCAGTGTAATATAACAGACTTCAGGGTCATAGACAGCCTGTCCAGATAACTAGTCGCAGTCACCTGCAAGGGCATCTTAAAATAGCCGGTTATTTTCACAGCAAGCTAAATGTGTTCAAACCGAGCCCATATGGGAAAGTAAGCAAACAACCAAATACGACAGCTGTGAGAGATCTGGAGGGCCCAGGGCCACGGCCCCCAGCCCCAGCCCCAGCCTCAGCCCAGGACAGTCCCACCGCTCACTCGATAAACCTCAAGCCTGAGAATATGGAAATGTAACATTTTTCAGGAGCATTAACGTCAGTTCCTACCACGTGCAACACAGCTTAAAAAAAGACAGTAAACAAGTTCCAAAACAAAATCAGACTTGGTATCATTCAAGTTCAAGTTCAAAATAACACCTAAAATTAAACAGCCAACACCTGTTGCCAAAATCGATTACAGGTAAGGGGTTAAAAGAATGACGGACGGACAAGAGTGGTGACCGAGGTGGGCTTTCTACGATGAATCTTGCTGCTATTCCACTGGCCTTCCCACAGTAGCCTGAGATATTAATATTCAATAAACCAAGGAGCAGCCAGCCAAAAGAGTAAACGTGTTGTTCGTGTTTACACTTCTCCATGACCGACCTGAATCACTGCCCACTGTGAGAAACCTTTGGCACAAAAATCCCAGCTCACTCTCTGACCCCCCCCCCCCCCCCCCCCCCCCCCCCACTTTTGGCTTGGTGCGCTTTTCAGCCAGCTACACTCGGTTTGCCGCGTCAGACGAGGGAAGAGCACTCGAACGACAGGACAAGAGCCGATCCGCGTCTCCATATGTGCATTCACGTTCCTCCGGCGCTCCAACACATGCCGTTTTTAGGGCCACTTTGGCGAATGCTACTGGGCATCTGCATCAGAGGCGTAACGATGGCACGGACAAGCAGGTTTAATTCAGAATCACATTCCCTGTGTTTACAGCATGGAAGCAGAATAGGATGCATGTTTCTAAGGGTCTTCCAACTTTGAGGAGCATCTCCTGTCACCTACGACCTGTACGCTCCATTCCTTCGTTATGTAGGTGACCCTCCGAATCGCTGCCCCCTCGGGGTGCAAATCGTGGGAATCTTCCTCCCCCCTAGGCAGGGTGGAGTAAATAGGCAGCTGGGCAATGGCACACATCACGTGTCTTGGTCCTGTTGTACCCTTGATCAGAGTTGCATTTAAAGTCCTCTGTAGGCTCCCTTAAGTCCATTCCGGGAGGAATCCCAGGCGTGCTATAAAGGGTTGTGAATATTGTGAATAAAGGATACCTGATTCAACCATGCCCTCGCCAGAAGTGATATTTCTTCCACAACAGGAAGAAAAGCTGCTATTTCTGTCTCCTGGTTTTTTCCCCCCGGTGCACGTATGCTGGCCTCCACAAACGGTAAAGGATACAAATCGTGTCCTAGCACCGTATTCCAGGGAAAGAGGAAGGGAAAAAAAATTTAAATCAAGACCACGCACAAACATGATTTAGATCTGCTGCAAATCCCTGAGACACACACACATGGGAGCCTGGCGCTGCAGTTACATGCATCGTCGCATCGGTGACAGGGAATAAACGAGCAGGGCTGCCTTCCGACGGGAGTACGGGCCTTTCTGCACGGTGCCAGGGAAAACAAAGGAACACACTCCACCAGAAAGCACTTTCAGGTCCCCCACCCCCCCATCTGCTGCCCACACAATCAACCGCCGTTCAGCCGCAATAAGCTCTGGCCGCATAAAAGCCCCTTCGCATCCCGACACCCATGCATGCTACAAAGGCAGCAGAAAATAGGTGCGCCAAGCTGGACGCACCATGCAAATCCCCCCCCCGCCAAACACATGCACACAATGCAGCCTAAAATCTGCCTCCCTCCAGTATGGAGCCTCAGTCACGTAGTGGATTTACCTGTTGGAGTCGCACTGGACGGTAGGCGGCTTGTCAGTCGCAGCCCCCGTCTGCCAGTCTGTGCACGACGGCAGCGCCTCCCTGTGTGTGCACCACCGGAGGTCCCGGGGGAGAGGGGAGTCAGGAGCAAGGAAAGGCACCTCCTTGGTATCAAGGCCGAGGGGGGGGGTGGCGTATTCCAAGGCGAGATTTACTACCGGCAGCAGAGTGGCGGGGGCAGAGAGAGCCGCGTCACGTAAGCCTGACTGCGGGCTCTCATCCTCGCAGAGAGAACGGAAAAATCCAGAAAAAAGGAATAAAAACACCACCAGAAAGACTCGAGTAAATTATGAAACGACTGCTGAATAAAAGCTGAATAAAAGCACAGAATCCGACTGACAGGGAAGGAGGAAGAGAAAGCAGGAAATGGCTGGTATGCGAAGCCCGTTTATCCCACCGTCCTCCTCCTCTTGAGCAGGGATTATCTGAGGAAGACAGAGGAGGTGGGGCCAGAGGGGGCGGGGCCATAAGGGGCGGGGCCAGAGCATTCAGGTCGACGAGCACACAGCACACACACACTCGCAGATTCTGCCTGAGCTGCTATTTCATTCCCTGGCAGACCCCGGTGACAAGCAAGCAGGCAGGCTCGCGTACACTCACACGCACGCACACGCACACACACACACACACACACACACACACACACACGCACGCGCACACACACACACACACACACACACAAAGGCAGTCCTTACCCAGGGACTCTGACATGAAGCAGGCGCAAGCAGACAGCCTTTGGGAAACGAAAAATCTATGCTGTGCAAATCAGCGGTGGAGGGGGTGGGCTCTGGTGGGGGCTGAGAGAGCAGGTGCCATGCTGGGGAGGGAGGGGGAGCAGGAGGGGCTGGGGGGAACCTTAATGAATGAGCACCTGCCAGGACTGCCCCTCAATCCTTCAAACCACCCACACAGGCACACACACAGTCACACACGCACACACAGTCACACACAGTCACACACGCACACACAGTCACACACAGTCACACA